TTGTTTGTTGTGTCTTGTTGCTTTTCTTCTTTTGTCTCTCTTCTATCCACTCACCCCAACCGGTCGAGGCAGAAGGCCACCCACCAAGAGCCGGGGTCTGTTGGAGGTTTCTTCCGTTAAAGGGAGTTTTTCCTCCCCACTGTTGCCAAGTGCTGCTCAGGGGAATTTGTTGGGTTTTCCCTATGTAATAATAGTAATAACAGTAAGGTCTAGACCTTACTTTGTAAAGTGTCCTGAGATGACTTTTGTTGTGATTTGGCTCTATACAAATAAAATTTGATTTGATTTATTGTTTCCAGAAGTTGTAGCCTGCAGTATGAGGGCGAGAAGACCACCACATTGAACAGACTCCTTTTACATGGCAGCCAGACAGTAGTCAGCTCTAAATGTATACATAGGATTGTAATGCAGTTAACTGGGCATCAAAAGCCGCATGCAGTGTTTGTGTTACCAAGATGGAATAAAGCCTGTGTTTTGAACAGAGTTATTCGGCCTCCCTCTTCACTTCTCCCTGCTGGAAAAGCCCGACTTCTAAGGCTAAAGCAGCTTAACCACAAGCCAGAGGTCACCTATGGTTCAGGGCTGCAGATCTGGGTGGGCAACACAAGTATTCAAGAAAGTTACAATTAAAAAGAAGCTGGATGCTGCAAGAATTGGTGTGGCTTTTGAACAACGGCGACAACTGAGAGAACAAAGGGGCTGAAAAGTGACACCATTGCTGGACAGGTCATTATAGGTTGTTAGAGTTTTGGTTCTTCCTACCATTGCTAACTCTGAGAGACGAGACAGTCCAAGTAACTTCAAAACAGTGCTGATTTATTCAAAGGATCACAGGTAAAATTAACATTACACGCTCAGGCATCTTGCACCTCCAAACTGCTCGCAGGCAGATGTAAGATGAAAGACCCTGAACCCACCAGGCCTATACATTATATCCCTTCGGTTGGGCTAGCCCCATACTACACAGAAACGTCAACCGAGACGTCTCTGTTACCAGCTTTGCAGCTGGTCATAGCAGTAGTCAAAACATGAAGCAAATCAATGTGTGTGTGT